GGAAAAAAGTTAACCGGGACGTTACCCCCCCCGGGTTTTTTTGGGGGTGGGGGGGGGGAAAGGGGGGGGCCCCGGGGGGAAAAAAGTTAAACTTTTTTTTTTGGGTTTGGCGGTTTTTTTGGCCCAGGGGGGGAAAAAAAACCCCCCAAAAGCCCGTTTAATCCCCAAAATCCCCCCCCCCCAAAAAAAACCCCCCCCCCCCACCCCCCGGGGGCAAAGGGTTAAAAAATTCGGGTATACAGGATTAGGGGTCCCCCCCCCCCCCCCCCCTCCCCCCCCCGTCAATATCTCCTTTCCCCTTCCTAGATGGGGCGCTGCCCCAGTAGAGAAACAGAAAGAGCAACAACACCAAGCCCCGACACTCTCCAAGGTCGGTGGGTAGCCCGCGAGCAAGCACTCACGCAATTCGAGTGTGCCTTGTCCCCCAAGGCCCCAAGGGTTTCCTGCGTTGCTGGCAGGCCGTCCACAAGGGTTACGACATCCCCGTCCCTCATTCCCGCCGCGTAGAGGGCCCGCTCCACCGGCAGAAAAGCCTGCGTGTTTGACAATCAACTTGATCGGTGAAGGTATTAAGCATTTTTCTTCCTCGGGTGACCAATGCTAAGCAGCACGCAAGACCATGTGACGTTGTGCTTAAAATCAAGCAAATGAAAGCTAAAACACGGAGCACGGAACACCTCTCCCCACACTGCACCATGAAACGTGAAAAACCAAACAAATGGGTGATCAAATAAGGAGCACACCCCACCCCACCCGCCCACCCACCCACCTGCAGGGCCCCCAGGAGCGAGAGCATATAAAACCCCATCCACCCACCTGCGGAGCCCCCGTGAGCCAGAGCACATACCACCCCAGCTACACCCCACCCACCTACCCACCCACCTGCGGAGCCCCCGGGAGCGAGAGCTCTCCGAGCCCCTCGTCCGCCCTGAACATGGTGCTCTTCATGTACATCCCCGCCAGTGCCTCCACCAGGCGGCTCTGCGCCGTCAGCAGCTGCAAAGACATCGTCTCGCACGTCACGCCCACCCTCCCCTGCCGCCCACTCGCCTACGCACCCCATCCACAAGTCAAGGGTGGTGGAAAAACAAAACAACACACGTGTTGCATCCATACATACATGCCCCGTTGAAAATAAACTTCAGTGATATACCGAAGTATTGAAATATTGATCATGCCAAGGATAGTACGCTGTTGTCACCTCAAGTACTGAAGTATTGATCGTGCCAAGGATAGCACGCTGTCACCCATACTTTTTTTCCGTGTTCGTACCCAAGAAGACGAGGAGCATCGCTTTCTGCCCGCACGAGTCGGGTGTTGACCGCCAGCGCTTACTACTTGTAGCATAACTTGGGGCATTTTGATATACTTATTTCGTACTGAATGGACGCGTTGGTGGTGCCTCCCTACGTTTCCGTTCCGCTGCTTAACCATCTCTTTTGAGTGTTAGGGTCTTGCCTTGCCTGCACCTCCTGAGTAGCACAGGTCGGAAATCGCCGAAATCAGCGCAGGTGCCTATCCGCACGAGGCAAACAGGCTTGTCCAGGCTCTCAAACGTTTCGCCGCCAGGCCACTACCCGTCCCTACAAAAGCTAACAATCTACGTACCCAGGAGCGCTCCCTCGCTACCCACCATCCACGGACTGCCTGGGCAAAGAAATTGGGACCGCCTACGCAGGATTTTAAGAGTATCTAGAAAAGCAATAGGGAGGGGGCACGCAGACCCTATCCCAAACCCTAACCTTAACCCCAACTCCAAAGCACGGATTGAATACTTTATCCCATATGTTTGCTTAATGAATTTTGCTGCGTAGACTACTGACCCAAAGCACGGATTGAATACTTTATCCCATATGTTTGCTTAATGAATTTTGCTGCGTAGACTACTGGCCCAAAGCACGGATTGAATTCTTCATCCCATATGTTTGCTGAATCAATTTTGCTGCGTAGACTACTGGCCCAAAGCACGGATTGAATACTTTATCCCATATGTTCGCTGAATCAATCTTGCTGCGTAGACTACTCAGAAAATTAAGAACATCTAATAGAGAGGCAGTAGTTACGCAACCCTCACCACGATATTCCACCGATTCCATACTTTAGTCCAACATGTTTGCGGTATAAAAACCCGCGCAAGTGTCCACCCACCGGAATAAATAGCATCGTCTTCCTCTCCCCGGTTGGGAGCGCCTCCTGCCCGACGTACCAGTGTGGCTGACCGTTCGCCAGCAGGCGCAGCAAGGCCACACCGGAGGGCTCCTCCGCTCGATGCAGCTGAGTGAGTTAATTCGGTACATTTAACCATGGCAGAAACCATGGAAGAAACCGCAGAAGCGGCAGCGGCGGGAAGAACCAAGGAATTTCATTGAGAATTCGGTCTAAGGCTCGGGTCAACGAGTAGCACACAGCGTGGTAGCACCAGCAGGGTAAGTAGCAACAGCGGTAGCAGCAACAGCACCAGCAGCAACAGGGACAGCAGCGCTGGATCTGCAGAAGTGGGATTCCTGGAGTTGACCGTCGGTTCACGTTTGTGAGTCCTGCGCAGATTCTTAGCAGGCAGACACCCACCACGGTTTTAATGTACACAGACAAATTGACGTGTCTTAAAAGTGACAAGAGGGTACCACGGTATGTAAAACAAACCGGGAATAACCGTAGCGGACGAGACGACACAAGCGGCGTGAACATACCTCCGTCATATTCACCACGGTTTGAGAAAAAAAAACAAAACGTAGGATTCGACCAACGACCGCGGGAGAGAGCGAGCCACATACCCCAACAGCACCGGCGGGAAGACGCCCGCCAGGTCAAAGAGACCATGGGCGAATGCACCGCTTGTGTTGAAGGCTATTGAAAGCAAACGCCAATTGCATTGCACTCTGCGCCACCACAGCTGTAGCAGTAATTCTGGGGCTGAAGGTAACCCCGTGTAAACACCCCCCCGCCCCCATACAAGTCAAGTTTTACAACGGAGGCATCAGCCCGGCCGCTCACGTATCGCCTCCCAGGGTTGCGCTGGTCTGGCTGTCGCTGTCGCTGCTGTTGCTGTTGGAGCTGCTGCAGGTGAATTTGTTGGTACTGGTGCTGCTCGAGGATCTTCCGCTGTAGCGCCCTCTCCTGCCGCTGCTGGGGAAGCTGCTGCCGCTGCTGCTGCTGATGTTGCTGTTGTTGTTGCTGCTGTAGCAGCAGCTGTTGCTGGCGCTGTTGCTGCTGCGCGTGCATAACATCCTGCGGGGTAGAGCTCCTACGGCTGTCCATCGAAACACCGGTTGCTGCAGCGGAGTCTTCCTCGACGATCTGAGATCGATCGTAGACCACCACCACCGCCGACCGAGGGGAGACAAGAAAATATGAACATATCGAAAGTACGCGAGACGGAGAAGCCGAAAACCTTGTTCACCCACGACCAAAGCCCGCTACTGCGTCTGGTTACTTCCGCCTACGGCAATTGTGTGTGTGTGTGTGTGTGTGTGTGTGTGTTGGAACGAATGTGTGTGGGCTGTGATGCCATGGTCACCATCGCATTTCCGGCGGAAAAAAAAAAAAAAAATCCGATTGACCGATTGACCTTCTCCTCCTCGTTTCATGCCAACTTTTTTTGCTCCCAAGATGCCAATATCCAGCGGACGATCTATCGAAAGGAACAAGGGGAAGCGTAGCACTACTCCACACATGGAAACGCAACCCGGTCAGATACTGCTATCAGCCGCTACACTGCTGTATGTACATACCCCGCTGCCGGAGATGCCGCCGTTCAATTTTTCTGCTACTGCTGTTGTGGGTGTAACGTCGGATCCATTCGAGAAAGCAGAGCAACCACACCCGTAGGAGAAACGAGCGCACGAAGCGCCTTCGTGTCCCCTAGAATATCATGCGCACCTGTATCACATCGGCGCCCTCTACAGGTCCCCTGCTGCCTCCTCCCTGCGGCGCTCCACCTACTCCGTTCGGCAAACCGCCACCGCGCCCAGCAGTTGTAGCGGCAGCAGCAGCAGAGGTCGCGGAAATACCAGATACGCTAGGCGGCGCCGTAAACGCCGGAGCCGCGAACTGGACTATGGATGGCACCGAGATGGCGCCGCTGACACTGCTGCTTCGCGATCCTGCCGCCGCGGACACCCCGCCGTGCCGCGCCGCGCCCCAGCCAGGCTGCTGCTGTTGCTGCTGATGTTGCTGAGATCTGGCACCCCATCCACGCGCTGATACTGCTGCGATTGCTTGCTGCTGGGCAGGCCCCGAGCGAAACTGATGCTGGTTCCGGCCGCCTCCGCCCCCACCGCCGCTGCCGCTGCCGCTGCCGCCCACGCCGTACTGCTGTGGGCGGACCCGCCCGTCCATCTGCCGGTGCCTCTGTCGGCAGCGGTGGTGTGTCTGCTGTTTCGCGAGAGACCCCGGGGCTCCGAGAAATAGACGCAGCCGAAGATGATGGTTGGCGTTTGGTCAGGACCGTCTCAGAGCCAACGTCGCAGCGAAGAGCACCGGGAAAAATCACAACTGCTGCTGTAGAAGATGGGGGTAGTGGATGGGGGACAGACTGGGCGCCTCCTCGCCCACAAGCACACACCCACCAAACAAACAAAAGCGAATGACAAAAGCTGCTGAACCCATAGGTGGGGCTCCGCTGAATCATAGTCAAAGGCACACCCCCAGCAACGCAGTATTCCTGCCACAGCCAGCCCAGTAGCGAGAGCCTCGCCTGCTGTGCCCATTATCAGTGCAGTGTGAGTGCAGTGGTAGAGACAGAGACAGAGGAGGATACGCGTCTACACAAACGCACACGGACACTACCAGCTTGCGACAACTTATTGCCCCGTCACATTGCTGTCCAGTTGTGTTTTTCTCTCTGCGACTCTCATGTCAATGGACAGCAGTGAGATCACCTGCGGCGGCAGCGATGATGGTCATGAGATGAACCCTTTTGCATCTTTCGCATTTGGGGGCGGGGCAAGCGAACCACCAACACTAGCCGCTCGGCCTCCCGGGGCTAAGAGGAAGAAGAATACTGACTGTGGTGAGTCATGTCGCAGCCCTGTAACAAATGGTAATATGCAATGGGTCGACGTGTGTGCATGCTTTTTTGAAATTCAAATTTTCGACACCAACGCAACACGATAAACATGCTCAAGTAGGGCGAAAACACAGACACACACAAAAAGACACACACACATGACACAATCAAGAATCAAGAGTGCTGAGGATAACAGCCGCGATCAAAACCATGTTTCACATTGGAATGCAGCATTGATGAGGATTTGTTCGGTGCAGGTAAATGTATAAATGTAGTTGTTTTTGTCCTCTGGGATGATATTTATTGCTGAATGGAACAAATGACAATTTATTATCAACACAACGTCCGGTTGGGGATCCATCCATCGTGTGGGGCTCGCCCTTTGCCCTAAACAGCTTGAAACTGCAAACGAGAACCAACTACCGTAAAAGTTTGGTGTGAATTCCCGGCATTCTATTGCGACATACCACAGAGCAGTCCTGGTATGGTACATATATTATGCGCCGGGGAAAGTTTGCCAATCCTATCCTGCGCCTGCAGCTCTGTACATTGTAGACGAAACAACGTGTAGGCAGACATCAGAGCCTGGGGCCTCGACGCAATAATGGGTAACCAACACCAGAACCTAGCGATAATCAAATCAGAGCCTCGCGACCTCGCCGATCCGTTGGAGCCGTGGCTGGGCCCGCCGCCGCCGCCACCACCGCTGCCGCCGCCTGAGAGGCCGGTGATAATGAAATCAGTGGCAGGGTTTGCAGAGACTCCTGTGTAGCCTACAACAGTTCCCTGATGGTGTTCGCCTGTGCTAGTAGCATGCTCGGTGTGTTATTTTCAGCGAACGTCAGCTCTGCTGAAAAGAAGTCCTCACTAAAAACAAGATAATAGGCTGATGAAGCAAATCAGCAGTCTATTTGTTCAAGTGACCTGTGCTACGGTAGCAGCAGTGAGCAAGCAAGGTAACAGAAGCGTGTTGCCACACCTCCTTGACAGGTGTGCGGAGTGCGGAGGTGCAATGCCGTAGACGTGAGTCTAGAGTACAGCCGAAAGGAATTTGACTCTGAGAGAAATGAGAAAATATGTTGTACAATCTTGTTGTATTGTTGAGCTGGGTAGGAAACAGAGTGAGCTCCGGCGGGGGGCGTGCGCTCGGCCTGGCCAGCGTTTTTGTCCATTACCGACGAAACTACGAAGAACCTTTAGTACCAACCCGGACACGTTCTGGAAACGTTCCGGGAATCACATTCCGTTCTATAACACCACAAACATTGATCTGGAAACGTTCCGGGACTTTTCCTGAGATGACCGCATCCATCGTTCCAGATACCTTTCCTGCAATTTTGTTCTTCAAAAGTTGAAAGCTTGTTATACCGCGTTTAGTGTACCATATCACATATACTGAAACCGGTATTGTTTTGTGCTACGAAATCGATCACGATGAATGTGACATCGTTTGCTGTGTTGCATTCATGAGAAACTTAACAGCAACAATCTTATCAGTTGATAATGATATTTTTAACGGCCGGTGCCTCTTGTCACACCACACAACCCCGACTTTCGTGGGATGGAAAAAGAGAGGCATCCATCCGCGTCTTCTTTCGTCGGCAGCCATACCCCAAAGCTCGCTGGTGGCGGGACTCTCTCCTCTCGGTATCGCAACTTAGCAGTACTGGTGGCGGTCGTAGCAGCAACAGCAGAAGCACGGTAAATGGGGAGGGCAGAACGAGTGCTCCCCACCCCGCCCCGCCTCCGGCGACGGCACGTAACCCAAGCACCCCTCGCGACCCCCTTCCCCTTACGGCATGAACCAACCTCCTTGGTCCAGTGGCAACACCGACAACCGTCGCTCGGACGGGCGAAAAGCCGGAGAAGAAGAAGGGTTGCAAGGCCGAGAATGTCGGCGAGTTGAGCCCGGAGGAGCTGAGAGTGTTCCGGAAGCGTTGGCGCGGCATGGCCGACAGGTGGGTCTGCAGGCGTTACACACTTCGAAGTGTATCGCAAGCTCAACCCCTGTGGCAACACACCACCTGTTCGAAGGTTGGCTGTGTTCTTTGAACGCATAAATATTCGTAGATTGTTGTGCTTCCGGTTCTTGTGCGCTTGGCTCAAGCCAAGTATGCGTACCACCGTACAAGTTTTTGCAGAGCCAGCCGAAAGCATCCCAAACCCTCCCAAATTCATCGGTCTTACCTGGGGGCACACATTGTGACGGCAACGAACACGCACTACAGGGGCGCCTGCGTGGAGGACCAGCGGTTTCAGGTGCTGGTGGGCGCTGTTCTGTCCAGCCGGGCGCAAGTTTCAGTCGTGAGTTTCTCTGGTTGCCGTGTTACTACTGTAGGTTCGAAGCTTACAGGGGGGGGGGGTGAGGGTCTCCCTCCGACGTCCCACGAGCGGGACGCCTTGATCTGCCCTCCTTCCAGCTTGTCGTATTTAACAGTGTTACAGTTTGCTCGTAGACGTGCGTCATTGGCCCTCTGCTGCCGTACAAGACGGACCTTAGCCGCCACATGCGGGCAAGGCGAAGGGGGGGGCGATGCTGTTGCGATTTCCCTTGCGCGGCGTAGATTTCGCGACTGAGTGTAGCGATCAATCACTGGTGGACCAAGCGCGCTGCTTTATTTCTTCGCGACGCAACAGCAGTCTCGCGAAGCCCTCTCCGAAACAGACACGCGTGTGGTCTCGAGTCAGGGGGACCCTGGTCCGCTGTGTGTATCGCTCTCCCTCCTCGTCGCTTCTGTACGACGAGGAAACCGGGCCGAGGAGCAAATGTCGCGCCGCGCCGAGAGCCGGGCGTTGCACCCCAGTTCCTGCGGCGTCCTTGGAAAAGGAAGCTGGTTTGGTCTCTTTGCTGGGCGGGAAGTGGCCACTACATTACTGTACACTATAGCACCGCCCCGTGTCTTGATGTTCAACCACTGCCTCCTGAACGCGCGATTGGGACACGATCAACTCATCACACTGTTGCAGGTTGACGAGGGTCTGTCGCGACTTCGAGCGCGGAGCGGGGGGCTGACGGCGGCGGAGATGGCGGAAGTAGGGCAGGACGACCTTGCAGACGTTCTGCGCCACGTACATTGGAACAAGGTAGTACATGTAATGTAGGGTTGTGTATGTATTATCCATTGTTATTTATTTTATTTATTTATTTTTGTTCTTCACTTCAAATCAGCGCTCACAGCACTGGTGCCGTTTATTCCGACCCGTGGTCACACAGAAGAGCCTATATCTACCCTCCCCTCCTGCGGTACTTCGCCTTCGCCTGTTATTGGCGAAGCCTCGAAGATAGATGTTGAGAAATTGTGCCCTTCATGGGCGTTACGAGTCCCGCCGCGACGTTGATCACCTTGAGAAGCAAGGTGGGCTTGCGCACCAGAACGCACCCCGTTCCGTGCACCTTGTCTTGTTCGCTTTACTTTTGGGGGAGAACGAACACTGTAGTCTAGTTTGTTTTGTGTGTTTTGTTTTTTATTCAGTTTTGAAAAACCGAACAAAGATTGTTCAATTTTTCTTTCCACCCCGCCCCATCCCGTCCCACCCCGCCCCGCGTCATTCCGTCTCATCCAATCCCGTCTCGTCCCATTCCATCCAAATTTGTCTCGTCCCGTCCCGTCCCGTCCCGTCCAATAATGTGCCGCAGGCGAAGGCGAAACACATCCGAGAGTCGGCCAGCATCATCGTGCGGCGTCACCGCGGCGTGGTCCCTAGGCGCAGGGCGGAGCTGCTGGCCCTCCCGGGCGTCGGTCCCGCCCTCGTGGAAATCCTGCTCAACGTTTTCGATTCCTGGGACAAGGACGACAAGGCGTCGGTGGTGGCGGCGGCGGCGGCGGCGGAGGCATCTTCGCCCGAAGCGGGAGCGGTGGCGGGTGGTGGTGATCGTGATGGCGACGTGGATGGGGTCGAAGGCGACGGCGGCGGTGGTGGTTGTGGCGGCGATGGTGTTGGTGATGGAAGCAGCGGCGGCGGCGGCGGCGGTAGCGTTGGTGACGGCGGTGACGGTAGCAGACTTGGTGTCGGCGGCGAAGGTGTGGACGATGACGACGAAACGGGCGGCGAGAGAAGAAGATTACCAAGTGGGGGCATGCAGACAGAGAGCGGGCGCCAGCTTGTGGACTTGACCGGCGGTGTTGACGGGGACAGCACCGACAGAGACGGGGGTGACGACAAAGGACCAAGCCACGGCGAGAGGATCAAGGACGAGGAACCAACAACACAGCGCAAGAGGATCGAGGATCAAGACGGAGAGGACGGCAAGCAGGGGGCAGATCAAGGCGTCACCGGGCCCGAGCCTGTGAAAAACGACATTGCGCTAGTAGACGAAGACGCCCCTCTCACGGAACGGAGAAAAAAGGAAGCTCTAGAGAACAAGGATGACACTGATGTCTGATTGTCGTCGTGTACGGCCGGCTCTCGTTGTGTTCACGTTGCCTCTGTTGTTGTTGTCGACGACGTTTTGACTTCCGTCTACGCGGGTTTGTTTTGGTCACCACCGATGGGTGTGAGGCCCAACGAGCTATCTATGTAGCTAGTGGGAGTCTTTTCTCGCAGAAGGAAGATGACTGGAAAGAATAACCAAGTCGCCGTATTTCAGAGTTCTTGCAAAAGGCGGCCGCACAACACAGCAACCATATACACGCTTTACTACGGTGTTTCAAGAATCACGTGCCAGCCGGCGCACAACCCCAGCTGATTGACGTGACTTTAGTCTTGTGTCCGCTTTTCTTGGCTCCGAGATGTAGTGTGCGCGATTGTTCAAATGGCGTCGACCAGCGTAGTAACCGACCGGCCAATGAACGGACGTCAGTCATATCCGCATCGAGGAGACGAAATCTCCAAACACGCTTGCAAGGGAGCAGTCCCTGTCCCCGCAGCACGTAGCAGCACCACCCAATCGACCGCGGTTGGCTTGACTCGTGCCAACCGCCATAGTCGTCGGCCATCTTCATATTCCCTTTCAAGTCCTTTATTGCTCTATCCAATCGTTCCATTCTAGCCACTCCTGCCGAAAGACAGAACAAGTGAGCTAGTCAAAGCGTCCGCCCTCCTCCATGTCCTCATCCCTCTCATGCTCTATCCCGGCCGCTGGGGACATTCTTAATTCCTTTATTCATTCTTCTTTGCAGATCCTCGGTGGTTGAAAGCCACCAGGACAACTTACTTGCCTCGCAACTGGTACACCTTAGAAAAACCACAAGAGGCAATTGTCCTCCAGATGCAACTCTGCTCTAAACAAAAAAAAATACTCATAATTTTTCATTACTACCCCACACGATCAACCTCCAAATCCTAGTCAACACGGCATGCCCGTACTCATTATCGTGAAGCCCTCGTTTGCTTCTCGTCAGCTAGAATCTTTTTCACCACATTTTCTCACTTTTTTTCGATTCCAAACGAAAACGAAAACGCCCGGTACCACTGCACTCCCCACCGGCAGGGAGCATTAAAACTGTACCCGTGGCCCCACTTCCTTTCATCTTGTCAAGCCCCAAATTTACCGCGCAAAGATCCATCGGGGCTTCCTGGGTACAGTACGCACGCGCATCCGCCACGTGACTGCTGTATCGCCTGCCGCTGCGGCAACCAGTCCCACACACACCTTGTTCTTGATGCCACTGCTATGTATGCCCCCGCAATCGCAACAGATTGGGCGTTCGTCCACCTTGCGGCCCCCAACGATGCTTAACAAACTGCGAGCTCATCCACAAAATATGTTGGAATTCCGACTCGCACCGCAGCATGCATAGTACCCCAAGGGCATTCACGGGGCCGCACTCCCCACCGCAAACGTATTAGTTTCACAACGCTTGAAAAACACACAGGCTGGTAAAACAAAGATATCCAAATAAACATCTCCCCGGACAGGTGGAGCGCACGATACCGGTATGCATATTTTAAACAAACGCCTTTCAAACCTCTCCCAACGTAAATCCACCCCCATGTGCCCCCGCGACTTGTTTCCGTCGATTCCCTCCCTTTGATTGGAATCTCCCGACCCCTCCTTTTCGCACTCAAGACAGCAGAAAATAACGGTACAGCAAAAAAAAAAAAAAGGAGCCTGTGCAAACCCCTCCGCTACACCCACCTCCTAAAAGCGCCACATCCAGACAGAAAACTCAGCACGGTTTCCAAGGCAGATTTTCCTGTCGTCTGTGGCAACTAGTGAGTACTGAAAATGAGGATCTACGAGGATCTACGAGACCGTGCGTCCGCTCCGCTACAAGAGCAACCACCGCAACCGGGCCATTCGTCAACTCAACTCAACCCACTGCTGTAGCGTGAGATCACTAGCATCGCTTCGCTCTCACCGCACACGGCTCACCGCACACGGCGGAACAGGCAAGGAAGGATAGGCAACTTTCGCGCGTCGTGAAACACGTCTTAGCGGACCCTCTCCTCTGCACCGTCGACAACAAGCGATCCATTCCATCAGATCCCTCCGTGACCCAAACATGTCTCCCTCCTCTCGTACACAGTAATCAACCGATCAACGGGAAACGACCGTTGAGACCAGCCAAGCACTGCACCCTACTAGTAGCGCCCCCCGCCCGTGCCCCCTCCCGCCCCACCGTTCCTGTCCCCCCCACGGGAACCCCCGCGGAAGCCACCTCCTTGGGCACCTCCACCGCCTCCGACCTGCTTGTTGGTGGCGTTGGTCCGCTTGGGGGGGAGAGATTGCCACCTGAGGGTACAACCAAAGTACGTCAGGCAAAAAAGCTTATCAAGGTCAAGGAGGTGCTCAAGGGAGGGCGAGACTACAACGCGGGAACCTAGCATGCCGAAAGCACGTGATCGAAAGGGAAAAAACGCAAGGCAACCGCCGTAAAGCTAATGCCAGTGGCGGCGCAACTTCGATATTTTCAGCCAGAGACGCTGCCTGACATCCACGTAAATACTGAGAGAGGCGAGTGGCGTAGGCAGACATTCATGCCACAGGGTTACAAAGACGACATCGAGACACGAACATGCACCCCTGCGTCAACCGTGCCCGAAGACCGTGACACAAGGGAAACCCATGAGGATTTGTTTGCGTATACTGCTGTGGTGCCTGTCTTCTGGCGCTCAGCCGGTCCGCGCCACAATGTTTCTTATATCCAAGACGATCCTAGTTAACAACAACTCGGTGCGACACGACACGACACGACACATAATCTCTCGCTCACTTGACGACGAGATCGTTGAGGAGGGTGATGGCGTGCTGGATGGCAGACATCTTGCCGGTCACGTGCAGCAGCCGCGAGTTCGTCCCGTCCACGGTGCTCTAAACCCCGGGGATGGGTCGCGCACATCCCCGCAATACCGACGGGCCCCCGCAACAGAAAAAAAAAAGCGACGGCGAGGCACGAGCGGTACGAAGAAAGCAAGTCTCGTCAGGACAGCAAAATACGCCTTTGACGGTAGCTGGCAAGATGGTAAAACAGCCCGACGATCCCTCAACGTTTTGCTGAAGCTACAATAAGGAAACAAAGGCGGGCGCGTCCATCAATGGTGCCATGTTCTTTTTAGGTAGGACGGCAATACATACATACGCTTGGTCGCTAACTTTCGATATTTTTCGGTGTGCAGGACTTGAGCTTTTGCGAAGGAGCTCAAGTGCAACAGTTAAGACAGACTTGACAGACGTGACGCGCGTCAGCTACACAACCATCTGTGGTCCAGCAAAGATATTGTGGACCCCAAAAGATAGCAGACAGCTTCATCACAGCCAAAGAGAGCTCTATAATAGACAGAAAATAGCGGGGAAAGAAAAGCACAATCAATCACGCCCCGGCCCCACTCTGACAGAAAACGGCGACAACAAAATAACACGAAGCAAACCACGGTCGTTTCGATAGGTGAATCAGGAAAGGGGCCTACGATGGCGCTACGCAAATTTGCAAGGATGTGTTGCGTCTGCACAAAGGGGGTAAGCATGAAACTAAAAACACTTCGTATGCGGTCGGACTCACATCAGTGCTGATGTTGACGCCAGCCTTGGACTTTACGTCGGCGATGGTGTTGCCCCCCTTGCCAAAGACGTACCCCACCTGAGCACGCCACAAGCGGTCAGACACAAAATCGAGAGACAGACACAGGAAAAGAGATAAAGATACACGAGTGAAGAGAGAGGCAAAAGGGACAAGAGACAAAAACAACCGACGACGACCGATATAAAAAAAGCCGCTGAACATGCTCCGTCCTCTCGAGGTCGCGTGGTCTAAACGCTAAGGCATACAAAACACGAGTACCCCCGCCCCAAAGCCCTCGATGTGCAACCAACTCACCGAGGCCTCCGGGATGCGTACTTCCATGGAAGGGTCCGATGAACCCGCGGTGCCCCCGGACGCGGATGCGGACGCGGCGGCGAGGGGCTGGTCTTGCTGCTGCTGCGGAGGAGGGCGGGAGTAGTCCACCGTCGGCGGAGCCTGCTGCTGCTGTTGCTGTTGCTGTTGCTGCTGCTGCAGGTACTGCGGGATGTGCGGCGGCGGCTGCTGCTGCGGCTGCGGCGGCTGCTGGGAACCGGAGGGCGGCACGCTCTGGGGCGGGGAAGAGCTCGTCAGGGAGGGCGAGGACTGCGGCGGTTGCTGCTGCTGCTGCTGGTAGCCTTGCTGGATGGGCTTGTGCTGCGGGGAGGACGCCTGCACACTGCCCCCCTGAGGAGGAGCGGCCTGCTGCTGCTGCTGCTGCTGCTGCTGCTGCTGCTGCTGTCCCTGGGTGGGAGGCCGGTAGACCGTCTGCTGTTGCTGCTGCTGCTGTTGTTGCTGCTGCTGCTGCTGCTGCGGCTGTTGGCCAGGGATGATCACCTGCTGGGCCGGCGGTGGCGCCATCGAGACTACCTGACCCGTGGACAGCCCAGTGGGGGCCGTTGTGGAGAACAGCGTCGTCTGCTGCAGCTGCTGCTGCGGCTGCTGCTGCGGCTGCTGGGTTGACTGATACCCCTGCGGCGGCTGCTGGGGAACCCCCGCCGGGGCCTGCTGCTGCGGGGCGTGGGTCGGCATCGCCGCGGGTTGCTGCTGTGGCTGCTGCTGCTGCTGAGTCTGCTGCGGGGTGGTGGCAGTCGTTGTGTACAGCGCCTGCTGCTGTTGGGGCTGAGCGGACTGGAGCGCCGATATAGCGGGCTGGTAGAGCACCTGCGACCCCGACTGAGTCTGGTCCTGGCCCGCGGTCGCAGCTTGCACCTGTACGTACTGCTGAGGCTGCGACGGGGCGAGGGAGGTGGGGGGGAGGAAGACGGCCGGGTTTCCCGCCACGGGGGCGGGGCTCGGCTGGGACATCTGCGGAGCCTGCTGGAGGGGAGGCGGCTGCCATGACACCTGCTGTAAGACGCAGGACACGGCAACACACAGCAAGGAAGGAAGGACTGCAGTTGAGACGGGGGATTGTTCGATGTGGAGGGCGGAGAGATCAACCGGCGGAAGGCCCGAGAGGCGAGAACCGACATGCCATTTGCCTCGAACGGTGTCGATAGGAACAACCAAGGCACACCCAAACGAGCTTACGCGTGACGTGTGTGATGTTCTTGCACACTCTATTTTGGGAGCCAGTCAGCACCTCCGGGTGTGTTTTCTTTTACGCACCAGCGGGGGCCACCACAAAAGAGGGAGGAAAAACACAGGAGGATTATTTTCATTAATTCTCAATAGAGCGTTTAACGGGAATATCCATTATCGTGTGTACGCCCACACGCGTGTGTTCGAAAGATTCGTGTCCTATTCAAACTTGAGCAGTCGTGTCAAAACCTCGGTTCTGTGTGCGGCGTGGACTTTCCTACCATGGGAAGCCACGGCAACGGCGGGGAAATACGCACCCACCGCCAGCGGACCGACACTTACATACCAGGTATATATATGTTAAGCGAGAATTAACACGGTGGGTGCTAAACAACTTGAATTACACACACACACACACACCTGTGGAGCTTGGTGCAGCTGCTGCGGCGGCGCGGCCGAAGCCATCGCCGCCCTTCCCGACAACTGCCCGAACATGTCGGCGGCCGCCGCCGCCGTCGCCGGCACCGGCATCGCGCCGAACCCCAGGCTCTCCCTCGCCGTGGCCGGTATCTGGCCCAGGAGACGCTGCCACGCCTCCGCCGAAGCGGCGGCAGCCACCGCCGCCGCGCTCGACCCCACCGGGGCCGGCACCGGCACGGCCGCCGGGGGGACAGCGGCGCTCGGCTGGTCCGTGATCCACGGTGCCGAGGTAGTCTGCAGCGGGGGAGCGGCGCCGCGGGAAGACTTGGAGGATCCGTCGCGGCCGCCGCTGCCGCTGTCGTGAGAATCGCGCCCGCCCCTGCCGTACCTGCCACCGCCGCTGTCGCGGGCGGAGGAGCCGCGGTCGCTCCCGCCGCCGCCGCCGCGCCGGTCGGACTCACCGCTGCGACCGTTCCGGCCGCCGTCTCTGTCGTACCGGTCGAGGTCGTCCCCGCGGTCGCGCCCGCCGCGGCCGCGCTGTCCCCGCTGGCGCCGGCCGCCGCTGTCCCTGCCAGAGTCGGCGTCCACGCTAGAGGAGTCCGGTGGTGGCAAGGAGTGCGCTGCCGTCGGGGCCGACGGGAGCCCTTGGCCCGACGGGAGGGTGGGGTCGCCGCCCTCCCACTCCGGGGCGTACTCCCAGCGCGATGCGATCTTGCGGGCGATGAGGTAGAGGCCCTTGCTCATGGAGCTGTTCGTGCCGCACACGTTCATCACGCGGGCCTTGAGACCCGAGCGGAGCTCCGTGTCGTTCAGGGTGTTGATCTTGCACCCGCTCTCGCGCTGAAGCTGTTTGATGAAGGTTCCCTGGCGCCCGATGACACGGGAAGACGCCTGTTTTTTGGAAATAGCCGTAGAACAGAGCAAGGGACGGTAAATACACCGGTGTCGTTTTTCGTGGTAATCATACCGAGTCTTCAGCAGTACGCGACGGCGCTCGTGTTTTGAGGGTGGAAGTGGGAAACAACCGTGGAACATGAGTGTCGTTTTCGTGGCAATCATATCAGGTCTACGCGACGAGGTTTGTGTTTTTTGTGCTCTGTCGGCTAAAATACAACCTGAAGCCCGTTTCTGGAAAGCTGGTTGTATCCTATGGTGCCATTTCCATGCAAGACAGCATAGAGAGAGAGCGACGGACCGAGAGCGAGAGCGAGAGCGAGAGAGAGCAGGTGGACACAATGTGCACCACGCACGACCCGCCGCTACGCATCCAACAGTTGTATATTTGTCTTGTCATCTCTTCACCTCATCGGGGATCATGAACTGCATAACGCCGATCGCCGTTTCCATCTCCTCCCACACGAGGTCCATGATGAGCTGCTGGGCCATCACTACGTTGCGGATAGAGCCGCGCAGCACCACCTTGCGCACACCCGATTCCTTGTCGCAAAACTTGTCGCTGTTACAGCAGAGCGCCGGCAGCAGCGACAGCAGTGACAGGATAAGAGAGAAAAAAAATATTACGGCGAGAACAAATTCTTAACGGAGAGATGAGCGTTGCGTATTTCTCTAAGGAAAATGCTACAGTACACCGTGACCGGGGGGGACATATCTAGCAAGGTTAGCTTTTCGTGACATCATACGTCCGAGTAGTGACAAAACGCCTTGGAAGAGACAGTCGAGAAGGGCGTCAAAGAAAGATGGAAGTCTCACGAAGAATACACCTAACGGGTTTCACGGAGAAAGAAAAATCACGTCAGAACAATCTACGGCTTGTTCCAGTCACGCCATCTCTTCTTCCCTCCCACTCACTTCTCGACTGTAATGGTGCACTTGGAGGTACTGAGGATCGTCTTCAGGCGCAGTCCGTGGCGACCCACGACGATTCCCACTACCCGCTTCTCGTTGGGGATGAGGAGGACGACGGTGATTGCGTGCTGAAAAAAAGAAAAAAAGAGTAAAAGAAAAAAAAAGAAAAAGAAAAAACAAGACAACCACAAGGCCGGAGAGGGGGCGCGGCGGCGAAATGAGCAAAAAACGTAAGCATGGGGGGAGGGTTCGAAATAAGCACGAGGTGAAAATCGAGAGCAAAACGTAGCATTGGCAGCGGGAGAGGACCGAGTGTTGAACATGTGGCTGTATGTAGCATAAAAAACACTTCGACGCGCAACAGCAGTATCGGTATGCTTGGTTAGCTTCGTCTTGCACAAAAAAATCTTGGACTCAAGAAAAGACTCAGAAAATACAACGGCACAACGCATCAAAACTGAAAAAAAAATAAAAACGTGTGGTACACGTGTACCAGAGAAAAGATAAAAATCAACAACGAACAATAAATGTGTAAATACAACTAAAATGCTAAAATGTGTAAAAATTCACTGTGGGCTGCACGGTACAGTTCAGGACAGGGTACATAAATGGATATGGACAAAATAAATGAAACACGACTGACGATGCGCCAAAACTTGGTGGTCAAGAACTAGAGGTTGTCTGGAAGACATACTGGAGTTTATTTACCATGTACGAAAAAAACAGCACGTACTATCTGAGAGGGGGCAGTGGGAGGTCATCGGGGTACCATCCTCGGATGCAAAAAAAACAAATGATAGATAAAAGAACACAAAACAACTTCACCTTGTCGAGATCGTCCGTCAAAAACATGGACCTGATCAACGCCTTCTCGGGGTCCCAGTTCTCGAGGTCCCGGAACGGAGGCCCCCCCGCACCGCCGGCGAAGGAGTCCTTTCCGCTGGACCCCCCCACCCTTCCTTCCTTGCCGCGCTGCTTGGGGTTGCGCCCGCCGGCGGGGGGCTCGCGGCTGTCCCTGCTGTCCGCGCGCTCCCGCTTCCGCTCCTCGCGTTCCCGCTGGCGAACGCCGCCCCTGCGGCCCCTCGAGTTCTTGTCGCCGGCGGCGGCCGCGGCGGCCGCGGCGGCCGTGCCGTCAAGCTTCGCGTTAGGGTCGGCGCGGTGACGCTTGTTGGGGTCGCCGCCCCCGCCATTGCTGCTGTCCTTGCCGCCGCCCGCTGCAGCGGCACGACTGATGATTGGTCGTCGTCGTTGTCGTCGTCGTCGTCGTTCGCAATGTTTTTTTTTTTACGTTTTTTTCGAACCGAAACGACATGATTTTTTTTTTGGCATCGACCAAAGACCGAAATCGGCCAAGGAAGAAAAGAAAAAAAAGACACCCGTTTCAGACGGATTGGTGTTTCGTTTTGTTGCCCCGCGTGCCGAAACGACAGGGGTTTGGCGGCGGACGGGAAAAGCCCGTCAGGGTGGGGAAAGGTCCCATTCCATTGGAAGTTCGGGACCCACGCCCGACCAACGCGTCATGGACATAGACGTCCGGAGCGAGAGGGAGGCATGTCATGCCCAAGAGGTAACGGGGTAGCAACATGTGCAGGAAGGGAGATAAGACATCGTGCGAGAGAAGAGAAGACGGAGTGAGTGCGAGAGAACACTGTTCTTGCTGGCTAGCGGAGTTAGAGGGCGGGCAGGGAGTCGGTCAAACGGGCAGAGAAGCAGACGTGCACAACCGGAAACAGCTACGGCTCGTCGTCGGCGTGACATGCTTGACTGACATGGCTACCGTTTGTCGCAGACGAGGGTACCGTAGTCAATTCGGCCGCAATCTAGCGATGGTCTTCGAGTAAGTCAACCAAACGCAGGTGCAACCAAACACTTGGTTGGGGGAAATGAAGGAGATACATACAACGTGTTGAGGGGCGACCAAAAAATCGACATCGAGGGAGAAGATGCTGGCAGAAACCATACCATGATCAACTGAATGAAGACACCCGCAGTCAGTCACATCGTGGTGCAAGATACGACACCACATATCGGCAGTGAGCAGAGGGGGGGGGGGGGGGGGGGGGGGGGAACCCCCCCCCCCCCCCCAAACCCCCAAAGGGAAGGGAAAAAGGGCAAAAAAACCCCCCCTTTTTGTTTCTGGGGGGGTTTTTTTTTAATTGCCTT